CTCCTTCATGCTCTCATTCTGCTCCATGAGCTTCTGCTGAATATCATCGACCTGACCGGGAAGCGTCAAGCAAGAGGGAGGAGGAGGAGGAGGAGGAGGAGGAGGAGGAGGAGGAGGAGGAGGAGGAGGAGGAGAGGGGAAAATACTTGATTTCCATTCCAGGACAAGCTTGTGCTGCTGCTTTTGCGCCATCTTCGAAACTCTGCATCCAACTGTGTGAAGGCAGGAAGACAATTCTTGCCATCCAACAACGTCTGAATCCCTGCCTCCCCCCTTTCCATCTTTTCCCTTCCCCCTCGTCCTCGTCCTCGTCCTTCTCGTCCTCGTCCCTGTCCTCGTCCTCCTCCATCACCACCTGAGGTTTTCTTTCGTGATCTTCAGCTCGTGGATCGTTTCCTGCAGCTCCCTTGTGATCTCTTTGAATTTCTCCGGTCCGAAGTGTGCAAGCGCCTCATTCAGCTCCGATTCAATCTGAGTATCTTTCAGCTCCTCTTATTCCTCTCCCTTCTCCCAGCCTTTTCCCTGCCCGTGCCCCATGGCTGTCCCCCCTGCCTCCTCCCCTCGTTCTCGTCCTCGTCCTCGTCCTTCTCAACTTCCATCCGGTTGCATCAAACCATTGTTCTTCTCCCTCTTCTTTGCTCTCCCTGTCTGATCTTGAACGCTCCTCGTCTTACCTGCGCTTTCTTCTCCCGCAGCATTTGCTCTTCCTGTTTCTTCTGATTCTGCAGCTCAACAACCTGTGCAACTCTTAGGGACTCCACAACAATGCGTCCTCCTCCTCCTCCTCCACCACCACCACCACCACCACCACCACCACCACCTCCTCCTCCTCCTCCTCCTCCTCCTCCTCCTCCTCCTCCTTTCCTCTTTCGGACCTTCTCCTCTAGCTCCGTAATGTGCTTCTTTGCTGCCTCCAGCGATGCTCTGCCCCACAGTCACCCTCCTGACAGGGGGAGAGGTCTTCTCCTCCTTCACCTGCTCTTGGTCAGCTGGATGACCGTAGCCGCTGCTTCCTCCGGGGTCTTTCCTATGGCTTCCGAACCACGTCAGATGGAACGAGAAGAGAGTGAGAGAGGAAGGGGAAGGGGTGAGGGCAAGCGGAGGGTGGAAGGCGGAGGGGAGGCATCAGAGAGAGGGAGCGGGAAGGGGGCGAGTGAGTGAGTGAGTGAGTAAGTGAGAGGGAACGGGCGGAAGGGGGAGGGAGGGAGAGAGAGGAAGAAGGAGAGGGAGGGAGAGAGGGAAGGGAGGGAGGGAGGGAGGGAGGGAGGGAGGGAGGGAGGGAGGAGGAAGGAGGGGAGAGGGAGGGAGGGGAGAGGGGGAATACAAGATGCAGTCTTGACTGTGACTTCTAATCCTTTAATCTGCTCCTGCTGCTCGGCATTAACCTGAAACGATTCATAAGAAGATCTCTTCATACCCTCCACCTCCTCCGACACCATCCAACCTCCTCCTCCTCCTCCTCCTCCTCTTCCTCTTCCTCCTCCTCATCACCATCATCATCATCATCACCATCACCATCACCCTCACCGCAATGAGATTCATTTTCTCTGCCTCCAACGCTTTGATTTCTTGGCCTCTTGCATCCAACTCTGACATTTCAAACGTCAAAGGCAGAAACCTGGCCACCACAACCTCCAACCTGATCGGAAGAAACTTACTTCTACCTTCCTTTCACTCTCTAGCCTCTGCGCCTGTGCAGGATGTCAGAGACAAGTCGCCTTTGGATTCTTCGCATCATCACCTCCTCTACCATCGTCTGTATTTCTCGCTCCTTCATTATCAACTCCTGAAAAACTCACATCACAACAAGCATCGTCAACTCCTCTGCACCGTTCTGAAGTTTTCAGCCAGCTCGCGCAAGCCCTCCAGCACTACGGTCTTCTCGGGGTTGAACAGCAGCAGCTCTTCTCTTATCTTCTTCATCAGCGTCTGCCAACTGTCAGTCTAGCATGCAGCCCTCAACGACTCGATCTCTACCTTCTTATCTTCGTCTAGATCCTTCTCCAAGCTCCCGGGAGCTGCGGCCGCGTAGAGTTTCTTCTCCTCGTCCTCGAAGATCTGAATGCAGTCAGGAACCATCTCGGTCGCTGACTTGGATGGCTCAGAAAAGATGCTGTATCGCAAGCTCTCAAGCTGCTGCTCTTCGCGCATGAACGTGTCCGCCTGCCATGACGGGTTTCAGCGAGCCTGAGGACCGTGGGAGGCTCACCGGGTAGACAGAGATGCTCTTTTCGTGTGATGAAGATACAGGAATCGAAGTTTGAGCCAACTTCTTGTCTGCAGAAGCTATAAGAAAGAGCTCATGATTCAACCATTCTACCCACCCCTTCCACGTCGGATCTGTGGCAATATACCGCTCTCATTGCCCTCTGGTTTTGGAACTGTCTTGGCAAATGTTGAAGGAGAGGACCTGTGCTGCGGTGTGAACATGTTTCAAGTGAAAAACTCTCGATCTCTGCGACTCCTCTAATGATTTCTTCAACTCAGCTACATGTCCTTGCTTGCCATCACTCCTCATCGTCGTCATTCTCCCCTCCTCCCTCCTCCTCCTCCTCCTCCTCCTCCTCCTCCTCCTCCTTCTTTCTCCTTGTCCTCGTCCTCAACACCTCCATCACCTGCCTCCCAGCAGCAGCAATTTTCTCTCGTCATTTTAAAAAAAAATGACGTAACGCACATGTAACGGGAGTTGTGGTATCGGGGGCAGCGATACGGCCGGGGCCGGGTGGAATGGTGGAGGGTGTAGAGTGTCGGGCAGCGGCGGCGGGAGAGGAGGATGGCAGAGGAGGAGGAGGAGGATGACGATCAATCGCTGGTTGGGACAGCAAGGAGAATGCCAACATGTCACAGGAAGTTCTCCTGATTTTCGCGATGCTGCTGCTAGGCGCGGTTGGCTACGGTCCGGACCCGTACCCCACTTGCCTGGAGGACATGTTTCTGGGTCAAGATTCCCCATCGAGAGAGCATCAGGCAGTGATGAGTGTGATATCTGTCGACATCCTCGCGCTCGAAGTCTTCCGATCTTGCTGTGACCTCATGAAGTTCAGTCCAGGTGTCCTCCCCTCCATGCGAAGTTCCTCAGCTGATTTGTCTGTTTGCAGAAGAATCTGAGCCGTCCAACAGGATGCTAGGACAGAAGAGGGCAAGGAAAAAGAATGAGGACAGGCTGCAGGCGAAGAAGCGTTTCTTGTGCGAGGTAGCAGGATGTGATCTCCCCGCCACGTTCTCCAGAGCCGTCGGGGAATCGACGAAGCTCGTTGCTTGCCACAAGCACAGGAGGTTGGACGACATGGACAGCAGACACAGGCTTTGCCAACAACCGGGATGCTCGATCCAGGTCTGATCTCTTTGCTGCTGTCGTCACCTTACGGGAGCACAGGCATCATACGGCGATATCTTTCAGGACCGGCCGGTTTTCTGCTCAGCTCACAAGAATTCTTCACATGTGCATCTGCACGGCAAGCACTGCACGTACCCGTCGTGCGTCCGATGGGCATCGTATGCAGACGGCAAGGGATCAGAGCCCACACGATGTGCTCGACATCGCTACTCACACCAAGTTGACGTTCGAAACCGAAAGTGCGCCTTTGGAAACTTCTCCTGCAGCAAGCAACCGTCCTACGGCTTGCCGAACGTGGGAACTGCCGTCCACTGTGCCCTACACCGACAGGTTTGACAATCTTGTCCCTACTGTCTCCCCCGCACTGACGAGGAGAGCGCGAATAGGAAGATGAAATTGACCTCAAGAATCAGCTGTATCGCTGTCAGTATCCCTTCGGATGCCGTAACTCATGATCCTCTTGTCTGCCCCCTCGCTGACCGTCTGGGATAGAGCGAAGAGCGTCCTACGGCAATCCGTTCAACGGTGAAGTTGCATTCTGCAGGCTTCACAGAGACGTCACGCATCTCAACATCCGTTACGGCGTCTGCGCCGTTTGCAAGAGGCAGGCGAACCTTATCGACGTGAGGACGTGGGTGTCGGGGCAGGTGAAGAGGTACTGCGAGGATCACAAGACAGAGATGTCACTCAGCTTGAGGGAGATTATGAAGTTCTCTGCTCATCAGGATTCCTTCCTGGAGTTCCAGCAGAACTGTTCCCGGGTGGAGCCAGGTTCCAACGACCTGACGAAAGCGATAGCAGTGCAGGTTCTGCGCATGAAGCAGCTTGCTCGCACGTTGGATGGAGACCGGAAAGGAATGACGAGCCCGCGACAGCAGGGAAAGAGGCTAAGAAGGCGATAGAGAATTGGAAGAGGTCCAGGGAATTCATAGAGTATCATAGAAAAACGTCAAATCCTTTGATGTACGACGACAGCTGGTGTTCTTACTTCTTCTTTCCGTCTTTCCTGCATCGTGGATCAGTAAACAAAGACGCTTACACAGACGCTCTTTGCTAACGCCACCTGTTTGACTTCGGCGTGTTCGGAGCTTTTGGGGAATCTACAAGGAAGAATGAATCAGAGGGTCGTACACAGGAAGTAAGAGAAGACAAACCGGTAGGGGAAGCGACGGGAGGGATCGCAGAGACCTCGCAGGGCTCCATGGATATGTTCTCCGGCTTCTCCGCTTCCTCCTGCTACCTCATGTCAGTGTTGGCTTCATACTGTCGCACCAAGTCACCTCAGTCCCTGCTGCAGACGCCTCTACGCTAGCCCCTTGATCGATTGAGGCGAAATCCTGGGAGGACTCGGAAGCTAAGCTCGAGGACTGACGAGCAAAGAAAGGGTCCACGGATGCGCACAAGTCAGAGAATCCGTTGTCGCTGCTGGGGTCCTTTGGTGTGACGGAGAGAGAGTAGTCGTCCATGATGATAGGAATCTGCTTGAGAGACGTCCAGAGGTTCTTCATCTGCATCGTGTCGCTCTCAGGCGATCTCACTGGCTCCTGCTTCTCCTCCTCATTCCCTGCATGGTCCAGCGGCTGACCCGCCAAGAACCGCAGCCTCTCTAGCCCGCTGCCACGCGCATGAACTTCGCTGCTCGTTGTAACCGTTGAACGATTCCCTAAATGCTCTACGATCATGCTTCCTTGCTTGGTCACCAGTGAGTCTCTCGTTCCGTTTTCATTGTCCTCTTCCTTGGCAGCTGAAACCTCCTCTACGCTTGGCTTCACGCTCATCATTTCTTCGCTCTCTACGTGCAAGGACGGGAAATCAAAAGCTTCTTTCGCGATTGAAGCTATCATGGAGCTGGAGACGTCATGGTCATCAATGGTCGGCAACTCTCGGACGAGTTTCCACACATTGGGAGAAGATTTAACTGTTTCCTTCGAACTTGAATCGTCAGAGAAGACAACATCTTCAGCTTTGATTCCACTGAGAAATATGTTGACCGACCTCGGAAAGCTCTCACGCAAACTATCTTGGGATGCAATCATCTGAGAAACAAGTAAATTACAATTTCACGTTTACAAGGCAAAGAGACCACTTACCTTGTCTGATTCTGTCACATCTTGATACAAAAACTCTGTGTCAAGGGGCATCGACTTCAATGCTCGCCAAGTATTGACTGACAATTCCCCTTTGTCAACAAATTCGTCGGTATCGTGCGCTTTTTCGCTTTGCTCTACATCGCAGCTTTGCTCGATCCGTTTCAATTCTCCGCCTTGACGCTGAAAGTCTTGTTGCAGTGCTATGATGCATTCGTTGACTTGTTTTTGCGTCGGCGATCCGATCTCTGTGAGCCACTGAATCATGCTCGGCTTCACCTCACCGTCGCAAGCTTGACTAATTTGTTTGAGAGCATACATGACATTGATGCGGTCTGCCTTCACTTCCTCGCTTTGCAGAGTTCTCGCACAAGACTCCTCCTGGTCGTTCTTCTTTCGTCTCTTCTTTCCAGACGACGGCGATTCCTCACCGGCATGCGCTTTTGGAGAGTGAATCTTGGGTGAAGCAAGTGCCAGGAGCCGCGGGCTAGGCTTGTAGCTGGGGCTTGTTGGTGACGAAAGGTCAGATAGCTCGTGTGGCAGACCCGAGCTGACGGCGCCACTTCCTCGCACGAGCGGCACTTGCACTTTCCCGAAGGCATGCTGAAGCCCGAGAACCACTGAAGTCCTGGGAGGCCCTTGGACTATGCTGGAGACATACTCGATGGGTTTCCCTTGTATCGGCTTCCCGTCGATGGAGAGGAGAATGTCTCCTGCTTTCACTTTGCCGGAGGAGTATGCGACGCTTCCTGGCTGTACACCCCTGCAATTCATGTAAGAGGAAGGAGGAACGAGTAGATTATGAAGGACCTGATCACAAACGTTCCCTTGCTCGTCCTATGCAACAGGATTCCAATGCCAGCCGTGACAGATGAAGTGCTGGAATTCGTCTGAGGCGTCGATGGAGGACAGACAGCATTCACAGGTTCTACCATCATCTGTAAAGAGACTCAGCTCCCAGGAAAATGTGTGGGATTTGTAAAGATTAAAGCACCGAGCAATAAAAAGGAGGGAAACAGGAGGGAGGAAAGCGGACGGAGAGTGGAGGGGGGGGAAGAGAGGGAGAGGGGAGGGAGAGAAGGGGAGGGAGGGAGGGGGAGGGGGAGGGAAGGAGTGAGAGGGAGGGAGAGAGGGAGGGAGGGGGAGGGAGAGAGGGAGAGGGAGGGACAGTTAGAGGGGAGGGAGAGAAGGAGAGAGAATGAGAGGGAGGGAGCGAGGGGGAGGGAGAGGAGGGAGGGGGAGGGAGAGGGTATGGAGCAGCTGCTTGCATCACAAAGGGATCATCTGCCTGACTCGCCTCGCCCGAAGCCGGACAGCCTAGGCCTGACTCAAGGGTAGGGGTGGCCCAGGACTAGAGGCATTCCGGGGGGGTAGGGTACGGTGTAACAGGAAGAGACGTACTATTTCTCATGCTGGGTGGGTGGTGTATCAATATGAAGCTTGTGATGGAGGGGTGGGTAGCGGAGGTTTTTCAGTGAACCCTCATGACTGATCCGGCAGGCCGGGCACTTCAAAGTGCCACCGTGAGCATTGTGAAAGTGAAAGTGGCTTCAGGTGATCCGACTTGCAAACGCATTCGGTCCAGGATCTTCCGTCAGCTCAAGGCCTCCCTGTCCTACGCTGCCATCATCGCGGGTGCATCCCGGTATGCGTCTCATTCCTTCGGCGGCGGCCACCGCGACATCGCTGGCATGGCCGCGCGGGGGACTTGTCCTGCGCGCCGTTAAGTGAAGGTATCTGTTAAGCTTGGGGGACAGCAGTCGGCAGGATTAGGTTTGGTTCTCGCTGTCTTTTCTCTTCTCGCCGTTTGGCCTGTGCGACAGTGTCAGGGTCAAGCCTCCTCGACTCTCCTGATTGTCCTCGTCCTGATTTTTAACTTAACTTTGAGTAAAGAAAGTGGCACGGTAGGGGTGGACACTCGGAGCCGCGGCGGGGCCCGGCCCGGGCCCGCCGGGTGGAGGTGGCGGCTCACAGAGTCAGCTTGAACTTGAGCTACTCAGTTCTGCTACCAACTCAGACCAGTGTCAGCCAGTTACAATGTCACTGGCTTCTGACAGTGACTCTATTCTCAAGAAGCTTTCCACGCCCGTTCTGACGGTCTTTCCATGATCTTTTGCTTTTCCGTACTCCATCCCATCCCCTAATTAGTACCGTACGTGCGAGAGGAGACTGACACGCCGCCCGGCGCCGGGCGCCGAGTCCCGTACGCCGGGAGGTGGACAACAACCACAATCGCCAGGATCCTCACTTCGAAAGAAGGCACACGCGCGGCATTCATGTCCTGTCACAGTCGGCGCAGGCCACGGTTGCATGGGCCAGTGCTCATTCGGCTCCAAACAGTGCCGGCACCGTCCTCCTGGCCATGAACTTCGGAACCGACTCCACTTTGTGTGCTGTTTATGGTTTATAGAATGTTTAATGGTTTTTTTTTGTAAATGCAGAGGTTCAATTCATGGTGACGGCGTTGCGAAGGCCATGTAAGAAGAGGGGGAGGAGGCGGAGAGAGAAGGGGAAGGGAACGGGAAGTGATGGAGAGAAGAGAGGAGAAGGAAAGAGGAGACGGGAAGGGGAGGGGAGATTGAGAGGTGAAGGGAGAGTGGTGAGGGGTAAGGGGAAGGAGAAGTTGGAAGGGATGGGGTGAGGGTGGCGAAGCTGAGGGAGAGGAAGAGGTCAGTAGGGCGATGGAGAGTGAAAGGGTTGCAGAGAGGCACAAACTGACGTACCGATATTTGCTTGTTGGAACCTATCAACGATGCAGGCTTCGTCTGCACGGATAGATCGGGCAATGTCTATGTACTTGCCCTGCTGAGGAAGAGAAGCTCAGCTCAGCATGTGCGTACAGGTGACCGAGACCGGAGAGAGAGGCGTGAAGCAGCTTTCCTCCCTTGGGTGCGTCGTCAGAAGGTTCACACCACATGTGCATTGGGAGCGGGGTTGTGGCTGAAGCAGGGAAATCCTTAGGATCGGATACCAGGAGGATCCGCGATCGCCATGCGTACAGAGTGGCAAAGGGGTCGACACGATAACGACGAGGGATGGTGGAGAGCACTTGCTGGTGGCAGACAGCACAGCCAACGAGATCGTCGTCATCGACCTCGTCGATGGGAGGATCGAGCGAAGGATAGGCAAGTACGGCAGCAAACCAGGATGCCTCCACTTCCCCTTTGCCCTTCATGTATCTTTCCCCTGACACGATCCATGTTCTTACTTGTCCCACGAGGTGACGCGCGACCGGCGGATCTTGGTGTCAGAGAGGCTGAACAAGCGCGTGCAAGAGTTCGATCACTGCGGGCAGTTCGTCCGAGTCTGCATCGCAGGACAGAACGCTGGAGGTTCCAGAGGCGTCGATGACACGAGGCTCTGGGGAGAACCTCGTGGGATCTCAACCTGCAAGGAGAACCTGGTCTATGTGGTGGATGCGGGCAGGCAGGTGGCGGAGAACTTGCATCCTTAACTGTCATCGCCTTTGATGTCTCCTCTCTCAGAATCCATCGAGGGGTCGGATCGTTGTGCTATCAGCTGACGGATCCTACTGCGGGTCCATCGGGCCGATCTTCGGAGGGAGAAGCTCAAAATTCGGACAGGTGTGAGAGAGGAGGGGAGCATTGAAGTGTCTCTTACAGTCCATGACAGTTCAAGAGCATCCTCCTCAACCCCTTCGACGTTGCTGCCACACGCCAAGGAACCGTCCTGGTCACCCACGAGTTTTCTCCCAGCATCCGAGTAGACAGCGAGGGACAAGAGGAGCATGTGGCAGCAAAGACCGAGCCCTTGTTTGCAGTGATGTCAGAGTTCGATCAGGTCCGTTTCCGGTTGTACTTCGACCTTGTATTTCTAACAAGAATGTGCAGGCCACAAGGCAATGGCTGCGTTTCATCACGGTGACTTCGGCTTCACCGGGTGTCAGTCTCTTTGGGATAGCCGTTGGGAATGCTGGGAAGATGGCCGTGCTGGACCACAAGAGCATCTCCGTGATGTGAGAGACTGTTACCTTCAATTTTTGAAACTTGAACGAGAATTCCTTGTCAAGTTTTTGAAATTTGACTGAGGAGTTCTCTTGAACGCTCATAAGCTTGGCTGACAAAATCATTTGCAAGACCCTCCGGAGAGGACCTGTCTCTGCATAGGCTCCCATGGGGCCTCCAGGTATTTCTGACTCCATTTCCGCATACGTTCCTTGAAAAACTGATGATGTTGAGCAGAGGATCTTGTGGATCGGAGTCTTCAAGTCGACCTTGAGTCTGCTCTACCTGCTCCCTCGCGATGGTTTTAAGAGCTGTGCACGAAATGATCGTCTTGACGCACAGCTGACAGGTAGGACATGCCCTTTGCTGGTCAAGATCATAGCAGCCGTCGGACACGAGTGACTAGCGCTCTCGTTAGGAGAGAAGGTGTTTGAGGAGGACACAAGTGCTGTCATCCAAGAACCGGCAGATCAGAGGGCTGTGCATTCAGCTCCTGGGATTTCCACAAGGCAACCTCTGCATTCCTCTTCCCCCGCACGTTGAAAAGGATCCAAGAACGCTGCGACTGTTTCTTTTGAACATCACACGGCCATAGATCGTCTTCGCTGCAAGTCTTTGGGAGGTGTCAGGAGATGCGTGGAAGGAAGAGAAAACGAGACCTTTGGGTTCCATGCTTCACCTTCGAAGACAGTGGGGAAGACGAGCTCGTCGTAACAGCCCGGCCAACCAGTCTAGCAAATGCGATCACTTTGACTTCAGGACTTACCGCAATGGGAAGAGGTCACCTGCATCGCGTTCCTGAGAGAGGAAACAATCCCAATGTGATTCAAGATGTTGAAGCGGTATCCAAGATTTCTCCGTTGCTGCAAATAACTGTACGATCATGGATTAGCTTGAGTCTTGCTTGCAAGGAGGGACACACTGTTGAGCTTGCTTGGTTTCGGCGCCGATCCACTCAGACAGCAGATGGTCTGGCGGTCTCCTTGCCTGTCACTTCCTGTGAGACGAGCGACGGGAGGGAGAGCGAGTGACCTGGTGCTGCTCGAGGTAATTGGCAACTTCGGTAACGTCGGAGTCGTGCAGCAGGATCCCACAGAGACCATAGGAGACCCTGATCCCTGGAGAATCGTTACATACAACATGCATGGTCCCGAGGAGAGTGTACCGCTCCATCCTAGAGGCTTGTAGAGGCGTGCCTTACCCAAGACATACGCGACGGACCTGTAAGGATGGATTAGCTGGTGCACCGCGTTGGAGGGCTCACCAGAAGAAGTTGGGGCACAAGATGAAGTCGTCCTCCATGAACATGAAGTACCTGAGCATACGGATGTGAGAAATCAAAGGAGTTGAGAAGATCCGAAGAAATGAGGCAGTGTGACGTATGAGAGTTGGGATGGACAAGTGATGATCGAGCGAGTTGTGCATTACGATGAAAGCCCGATGCTCTCTCTCATCATTGCCACGACTGCTCGCGTCTGACGGCGAACCTGACATGGAAGGGAAAGAACCAAGTCAATGCCATGCCAGAACAACACCACCTCTGTCACCTTCGACCCTGGTATGTTGGCGTCCGACTCAGGGTTCTGGATATTGTCGGTAATCTGAATTCCTCGCTCTACAAATTTGAAGTATGGAGCGTATGGGCTCTTGTCCACTTTCGCTTTCACTTGATCGAATACCTGAAGGCACAGACCGAACAAGTAAACTTCCACTAGAAACGATCCCACCAGTCGTTTACCTCGTGCTTTCCGGGCTGATTGTTCAAGACTACAACTTTCACCTGGAAACGAGTTACAAAGGGAAGAAGACAGAAGAAGCAGGGTATCACTTTCTTGTAGAGAGGATGATCAGAATCTGTCGGTAGCTGTGCCACGATCGCATCTACCGTCTCCTCCAGGTACCGAAGATTGTCCTTCCTTGGAACCGTCGGGATTCCCAGCGTCAGCCAACTCTTCTTGGCAGCGCCGGGATCCTCCGCAGCTGCTTTAGGCTCCAAACTCTGCTGGAGGGTCTTCTTGATCTGCTCGTTCTCCCTCTTGAGTTCGACCAGCTGCTCTTCCAGCCTCCTCGCCTGCTCCCTCGCCACTTCGGCGTCACTCTCCTTGTCCGAGGCCTTCATGTGGAGCCTTGCGCTCTCTACAGCATGAGAGACTGAGTCCAGCCCCGATATCACTCCCGACACAGACGCGTTCATCCTCGACATCTCTGTCAGGAGGAGCTTGTTCTTCTCCACGGCTCTCCGAGTCCTCGCTCGCTCCTCCATCAGCTCTTTCTCGTGCGTTTCCTCCGCAGCCTGCAAGACCCAACCAGCGCGCCATAGACAGATCAACCCAATGATGAGACCCACACCAATCCCCTCTCTCATCCTCCTCAACTTGAATCCCCCTCCCCCTCCCCCCCCTCCTCCTCCTCCTCCTCCTCCTCCTCCGCCGACGCCGCCGACTGCTCTTCCCGACAACCTCCCCACCATGACACGGCACCTAGATACCCCTACCCCACAGTTTTGAACAAATACATGGCTGAATACCCCATCTTTACGGATCTGATTCACCCCACCCCTGGAGGCGAACAATTACCGTACCCCCGTATTTTCTGCCTGAATCCCCGCCATGCCCGGAGAGGGAGCTGGGGAAGGGTGTTGGAGGTGTAGGAGACCGCAAGAGGAGCAGTTGAGGAGAGCAACGAGAGGACGATGGAGCAGGAGAGGAGGAGAGAGATGGAGAATGAGAGACGAGGATGACGAAGGAGATGACGTAGTCATGGGAGGGAGTGAGGAGGCGAGTCGTTGATGCGGATGAGGAGGTGTAGGGCGAGCAGGGCGCATTGTAAGCCAGTCCGAGGTACTCAAGGAGGTGAGAGGAGATGAACAAGGACTCATGCAGGGATACTACCACAAGGAGGGTCGAAAAGAGAATAGAAGCTGTAAATTCTGGACACGATTGTTTTCCTTGTTCATGAGTGCATGACAAATTGCCTCGACCGATGCTTGTCCCTGACCCAGTTCGATAGACAGTGTTGAGTTCCTGATCGAGTCTATTAGCAAGTAGGGTGCAGAATGTTGACTTTGAGCGTGCTGCTTTTGGTTTCAACTTTGCCTCCTGTCTCTCCTGCTTTCAACCTGCTGACACAGAAATATGACAGATCTGCGAAACGACTGCAAACCTCACGAGTTGAAGATCAGCTCCCGTAGCATTCCGATAGGATCATGGAGTACAGCACTCCTGACAGCAAGAGGGAGCGTTCGAGCGGAAGTCTCGAGCACACGCCCACCGATCCTTCCCTACTGGTCGAGAGGCTGCAGCTGTTGAAAAGTAGGCTTGCAAAGATGACCAAGACGCTAGAAGCCAGCGTCTCCTCTGCTTCTCCCATCAGGAGCTCAGACAGTGAGGACATCGTGTACTCCACACCGAAACTAGTCCAGCAACTGCTTGAAAGTCAGTTGGATGCTGAACCTTCGCGCTTCCTCAACCCCGGCGAAACCCCGGGGGAGGATGACCATGTCACTGAGATTCGGTTTACCTTGGCCACAAGCAGCGAAGAGGATGCAGAAAATCTCGTAAAGCTCCTTGCTTCATCGAACTAACGACAATCTTGCTTATGAGGATAATAGCAATAAATGAACATTTCTGTACGTTGCCTTTACTGTGCCAATCAAGAAATTCGATGAATTCGTTACGTGAACTTGGATTGCCACTGCAGAGACTTTTCGTGATCTTGGGAGAGAAGACCCATGGGATCTCCGTCTTCGAGCGGCTGCTGCCACTCGTATCCTTCCTTCTCCTTCTCGATGTCCTTGAACGACTGCATTGCACATTCAGCAACTAGCGCCCTCTTCGCGCCATCGCACGTTACCTTGTTGCACTCGGCAGTGTGCACTGGTGCCATCTTGGACACGTTGCCGCAGATAGCTGCGATGGCAGCAAGCTCATCAGCCTTCAGGGCGCGGAGGCCTGCAGAAGTGAAGATCTTGTCCCGAGTCAGTCACAATCTCCGTTGTTGTCAGGTGTGTCAGCAGTCCTACCTGGCCAGCAGGGACGACAGTGGATGCAGGGACCACCGCTCCTGGGCCTACAGCAGCACCGTCTTCCACAACAACAGAGTCTTCAAGCACCGCGCTCGCTCCGACCATGCAGCCGCTGCCAATCTTGGCTGCCCGGATGACTGCGCCGGCTCCAACAGTCACGTTGTCCCCGATGGCGATCTCGCCCGAAGTAGGGTTCAAGACCGCACGTTCCATCACGTTGCAGTTGTTGCCGATTGAGATGTTCGATCGATCTCCTCTCACTACTGCACTGTACCATACGTTGCTGTTTGTACCAAGGGTTACTTTGCCTATGACGCTAGCGGTTGGTGCGACAAAGCAGCCCTCCTTGATCTTCGGGGCATCGCTGAAGATACGCATGACATTGCGATGGCAAGACACTGAAATCGAAAGTCAGAAACATGTACATGAACCATCTGGGGCCATTCCGCCTGATAAACAACAAGGTACAAAAACCATATGACTGAGAACAGTTCGCTCAGATACACACGCTTGACTTATCAAGTCTGGCAACCAAATATATGAAACAGGTTCTTTCTTATTTCTCTGGCTACTAAATCTGCCCTTCAACAAACATCGCAATTTCTACCATAACATCTAATCTAGAGGCACTGTTCTTTAACAGGCAACTACTGAATTTGACGAGGTGAGGCTAGCGCTGGAGCAAGGAGGAGGAGAACATTGAAACAAACTTTCGCTACTCACATGGTTCCTTGTAGGTGAGATCTCCGAGCATGCGGCATGCCAGTCGCTCCAGCGCCACCCCGGTCTCGCGCAGCGCCTGTCCAGCCGCCCACGCCATGCCGCCGAGGATAGAGATAGGGTGGTGGGGAAGGGACTGCAGGATTTAGGGGTAGGGGTGTGGTTGTTGTAATGGGATAGGGTAGGGTATTGCCAATTCGAGGGTTCAAAATACAGACAGGGGTGCAGTATACATGAGGGTAGACGAGTAAAGAACCCTGGGTGGGTACAATAATACAGCATTGAAGGGTAGTCAGATGTTTGGGTGGGTGAGTCTCTGATGGTGAGGGGTGGGGTATCGGAGGCTACAATTGAACGATAAAGTTTGGGAAAGGGTTGTAGCAATGGGGTAGGGGTACGCATGGTACCACCCATCAATTTTAATCACAACGTAGGGGTAGAATGTTACTGAAAATACAACAGGGGTAGGGGTAGAAAGAGAATTAAGATACCCCCTGAATGTAAGGTCCAAGTAGGGGTGATATGAACCCCATTCCTTGTTGTGTAGGGGTAGGTGGGTGGGGGTCTTTTAGGGGATCGCGTGCCATGACAAGGCCGGTGGTCACAAGGTTCGCGCCATCGCCGACAGGTGAAAAGATGCGAAGATGAGGAGAGGAGAGGAGGAGGAGAGAGACAGTTGCGAAGATGCGAAGATGTTGAGAAGAGGACAAGATGAGAAGGGAGTGAGACGAGTAGAAGATTAGGAGAAGCGATTCGAAAGGCGGCGCGAAGAAAGAGGATGGTTGGTGGCGCTAGGATTCGGTGCAGATTTTAAGAATGTCCAGCATGATTCTGCGGATTCTGTTGTGATAGGGTTGTTCCCCATCAGCATCACCTAGGAGATGTCTGATGGATCGATAGAAGGGGCGAGGCAGCAGCGATGGCACGTGCGAGCGGTGACGGTGCATTGCAGGCTATCTGCACATCGGTGGTGGCAGAACAGCATTGTTCAATTATCTGTTCGCAAAACACTTTGGAGGAAGATTCCTGCTGCGCATTGAGGACACGGACGCAGAGAGGCATGATGAGGGCGCAGTCAACGCGATCATTCAAGGAATGGACTGGTTGGGGTGCAAGCACGATGGAGACATCATTCGTCAGAGCACACGCAAGGCCAGGCACAAGGAGGTGGCTGAGTCGATGATACAGAATGGGAGAGCATACAAGTGTTACTGCTCTAAAGAGGAACTCGATGCCCTCAGAGCAGAAGCTGAGGCGAAGAAGGAGCCGTTTCGATACCCCGGGACTTACAGACCGGAAAACCTTCCTCCTGACTTCAAGCCTCCAGAGGGGGTTGAGCCCGTCGTCAGGATTCGTACGGACGAGGACGGGACGACGGGATGGGACGATCTCGTGCAGGGTCGGATAGACTTCCCGAACAAGGACGTGGACGATTTCATCATCCTGCGTGCAGACGGGAGCCCTACCTACCTCCTGGCGGTTGTGGTGGACGACCATGACATGGAGATCTCGCACGTGATCCGAGGGTCCGATCACATCTCCAACACTCCTCGTCAGCTGCAGATCTACAAGGCTTGCGGTTGGGAGCCTCCTCAGTTCGGTCACATCCCCCTCATCCATGGCCCCGACGGCCAGAAGCTTTCCAAGCGTCATGGGGCCACGGGAGTGGAGCAGTACGAGGCGCTCGGGTACCTCCCTGAGGCCATGAGGAACTACCTTGCTAGGCTGAGCTGGTCGCACGGGAACGACGAGATCTTCACGACGGAGCAAGCGATCGAGTGGTTCACGCTGGATGGTTGCTCCAAGAGCCCCTCTTGCTTCGACTTTGACAAGCTCAACGATCTCAACGCACACTACATCAAGGAGTGCGACAAGAAGCGGCTGCTCGACATCGCCTGCAAGCTTTACCCCGAGCTCGTGCCGTTTGCGGAGAAGCTGGACATGGCGGTTGACATGTTGAAGCCCCGCGCCAAGACGATCAAGGAATACCGCGAGGCCGCTTCCTTCATCTGGTCTCCTCGCCCGCTCGAGATGGAGGAGAAGGCAGCTAAGAACGTCAACTCGGACGCTGCGAAGCAGGTGTGCGGATGACGTGGTGGCTGTTGTTGCTCTGACTGACTTGTCTGGACCAGCTGTTGAAGGATGTGATCGATGCTATCAAGGAGTACAAGGCGGAATGGAACGCAGCAGAGCTCGAGACTATGCTTGTTGCCTTTACTCAGGCAAAGAATCTCAAGCTCGGACAGGTCGCACAGCCCCTTCGCTCCTGCCTGACAGGATCGACGGCGTCCCCGGGCATCTACGAAGTGATGTGGGTGATCGGGAAGGAGGAGTGCATCGGTAGGATCGAGGATGCCCTCGCAGGAAAGAACAGCGTCAAGGCAGCCCCTGTCAGCGCCCCTGCGGCTCCTAAGGAGGAGAAGAAGGAGAAGAAGGGAGGAGCCGCTCCGGCTCCTGCTGCCGATCAGCCAGAGTTCACCAAGCTCGAGATCAAAGTCGGTCTGCTGACCAAGACATGGCCTCATCCTGACTCTGACAAGCTGTTCTGCGAAGAAATCGACGTCGGAGAGGTAAGGGCGGGAGGATAGACGCCGTGAAGGAGTTGGAGGGAGGAGGGAAGGAATAGAGGGAAGCAGAGGGAACTGATGGAAGGAATGCAGAAAGAGCCAAGAAGTGTGGCCTCTGGCTTGCGTGCCTTCTACTCCGAGGCAGAGTTCTGTGCTGGGCGCAAAGTTCTTGTTGTCACGAACCTCAAGCCAGCGAAGATGGTCGCTCAGCTCTAGATCGAATCGCTCTGACCTCCTCACCAGGCTGGTTTCGAATCTGCGGGGATGGTGCTCGCAGCCTCCAACGATGATCACAGCAAGGTGGAGCTGCTTGAGGTCCCTGAGGGAGCCCAGGTAAAAGAGGACGAGGAGCGAGGGGAGCAGACAATGGAGAGGAGCAGGAGACGGTGGAGCAATTGGGGGGAGACAGACAGAGGAGGGAAGGAGGGTAGGGCAAGCCAAGTGACAAGGTATGCAGGTTGGCGAGAGAGTGTTCATCGAGGGCCTGACCGGGGAGCCATTCCAACCGAATCAGGTAGAGGAGGATTGAGGAAGTGAGGTCAAGAGCTGAGAGGCAGCGAAGGTGAACAAGAAGAACGTTCTCAAGAACGTCCTTCCAGATCTCAAGATGAACGCCGACAAGAAGCTGTGCTGGCAGGTTGCCTCTCTCTCCTTCTCCCCGTCTCCTCCCTCTCCATCCTCCACTGTTCCCATCCCTTTCTCCTGCTATCTCTTCCATACCCTTTTCCACCTGGGTTCCCAACTTTTCTACAACCTCCCTCCTTTCTCTCTCCCTACTCCCTTCTTGCATCTGCTCGCGCACTGCCCCACCGCAGCCTGTCCTTCCTTCGTACGTCTGAGGCTTCTGCAGGACAAGATTGTGCTCACATCGGCTGGTCCCATCACGGTCCCCACGATGGCAAACTGCCCTGTGGGATGAGCAGGACAGAATATGAAGAGGAGGAGGAGGAGGAGGAGGAGGAGGAGGAGGAGAGTGGTTGCGGGGGAAGCTAGGAGAGGGTCGGCTCATAAAGCTTTCAACCAACTCATGTGAAACCCATGAGCGTAAGGATGTTTTGCGTGCTCGACAGGTCCTCCACAACCTCATCCTCTTGTCACGAACTACAATCGCCTCCTCCTCGTCCCTCACCTTGCATGAAGGAGCTGCCTGCGACAGCTCTTCCGCTCCGAAGGTCCCCGTGAGCACTCCTATCGCTTCCGCTCCTCCCAGCTCAGCAGCTCTGACCTGCATGACACTCAGCCGTCCTCTCTGCCATGTCATCCTCTGCCATTCCATCCTATTCTACTATCTCCTCCTCTGCCATCCCATCCTATTCTTCCACATCCTACTCTTCCATTATGTCCTTCCCTACTTCTTGCCTTATTCCCTCTCCGTCCCTTCCCCCTCCACGCACATCAGCTGGAGCATCGCCGATATGGAAGCGCCGCACGATTGGGACGTCGGGCTTCATCTCCCTCCTCCTCTTGCACGCAATCTTCACGAGCTCTCCCCGATCGAAGGCAGGATCTTCAACGCTGAGCGAGCAGAAGTCGCTGCCGAAGCCGCCGAAGTGAGGTTGGCTGAACAGATGCTCTACCCCCAGCCTCCTCATCTTCCCCCAAGCAATCTCCTCTAAGTTTCCTGTCACCAGCCCTACACACACGTCCTCCCTCCCTTTCAGCGCCTCCAAGAGCTCACGCACTCCCGGCAGCAGCTCCATCCCCTCCGCTGCCTCCTCCTCATGCTCACGAGCGAACTCGACCATGGCCTCCTTCATGGCGGGGAGCTTGTCGATAACCAGCTGCTTGTCGTATCCTCTTGCCAGGAGCACCTTCATGAGGATGAGAGGGTCTGTGCAGCCATGGTGCGCCACCTCGTCGATGCTGGCGTCGATGCTGAAGCACTTGCTGAAGGCATGCGAGAAGCTCCGAAGGTGGAGGGGGGGACGTGCCTCCCCTTCCCTCTTCATGCGGCAGATCGTCCCGTCAATGTCGAAGGTCACCAGCGTGATGCCCGCCATGCTCCTCGTGCCTGCCAGCCCCGCGGCGGTGTGGAGGAGGGGGAGGAGGAGGCAGAGGGGGTGGCGCCAGGTGGGGCGCATTCGGGGGTGCCAGGGAAAGGCAGCAGGTGTAGAGAATCGGGCTGATGCTGCAGCGGGGGAGGCAGGGGAGCAGGGTGGGGACAACAAGAGCAGTTGTGCTAGAGGGAAGGAGCAGGAGGGAGAGAGGAGAGGAGAGAGGAGAGGAGTGAGGAGAGGAGAGGAGAGGAGAGGAGAGGAGTGAGGAGAGGAGAGGAGAGAGGAGAGGAGTGAGGAGAGGAGAGGAGAGGAGAGGAGAGGAGTGAGGAGAGGAGAGGAGTGAGGAGAGGAGAGAGGAGAGGAGAGGAGGAAAACGAGGTGAAGGAGAGACAGAGAGCGGAGGGTTCACAGTGAGTAATGGTTTATTTACATGGATGAAGCCTGATCGTGGAGCATTGAGCGGCCTATGAGCTGGACTTCGTCTCTGAGCCATGTCGCCGGCAGCCCCGACACTCTCTCGCACATGTGCCGCTCCACCGCCGTCCAGAACTCGGAGAAGCTGCCCGACGACTGCGACACGAGCTCCTGCCACTGCCGCAGCTCCTGGGCAGGGGAGGCCAGGGAGGACAGCACCGTCCTCGCCTTGTTGAGGTAGCCGAGCTTCTCCAGCGCCATGAAAATTCCTCTTCCTCCTCCCTTCTTCTTCCCGTCGCCCCCCTCCCTCTCCAGTGACTCTGCGCAGCGCAGCAGCTCCAGCGCCGCCTGCCGGCTCATCTCCCGCTTCCTCCCGCTCCTCGGCTTGCCGCACGCCAGCGCCAGCCCCTCGTCGAACGCTGCGACGCACACGATCTGCTCCAGCACTTCTGCCACCCCCCGAGCGATCGCCGCGTTCTCGTTGACCTTCCACATCCTCGACCTCCCCTCCGCGTCCCTGCTGTATAGCTCCTTGCACCCGCTAGAGAAGGACAGCGCCACGATGCTGCTGCTGCCTGCGGCGAGCGTCCAGCAAGGGGTCCAGCTGTATCGCTCCTTGGCTGCCTCTGAGGCGGAGGAGGACGCGAGCTTCAAGATCCAGAACCGTATGGACCCGTCGGCATGGCCCGTCACAAGGCTGCTGTCGGGCAGCCAGAGCGAGTCCGTCCTGGTGGCACATGAAGTGACCCTCACGCGGAAGCCTTGCAGCCGCTTCCTCCTGCTCGAGGCGAGCCTCTCCCCGTTCATCGTCCACGCCTCCAGGATCGACTCGCCGCACACGTAGACGTTCCCGTTCTCCTCGTCGATGCACGCGCACACCACCGACGCTCGAGCGGGGTTGTGGAGGGAGCGCAAGAAGGTGCAGCGAGCGAGGTCCCAGAGGAAGACGCTGCCATCCTGTCCTCCTGAGACAGCGATGCCGTGATTGCGGGAGAGGAACAGGCAGCTGACGGCACTGCGATGAGCGCTGCATGCCTGCCGCCTCTTGTCGAGCTCCTTCATGGGGAGGCTCCACCAGCTGTCCTGGCTGATGTCCCACAGCCGCACACAGCCATCCTGCCCTCCGGTCGCCATGATCGTCCCATCGCTCGTGAAAGCGACCGAGGACACGAAGCCGTCATGGAGGTTGAAAAGGACGGTTAGAACCTTCTTGGAGTCGTACAGGCAGATGTTGAGAGAGCCGGGAAAGGCGAGGCTGGGCACGAAGCAGTGCTCCGTGATGGGATGGAAAGCGATGAAACCATGGTCCTCGTTCTTCCAGCAGGCGTTCAGATCGACCTTGCTCGCCTCCAGCAGCTCTGGGTTCAAGATCGCTGAGTATGGAGGTTCCACAACCTGCTTGGGAGGATGGGGACGTTGAAAGAGCTGCTTCGGTGACTGCCCGAAGTGGCTGATCTGGGCGACGACGGCCTGACGTTGACAGTCGTCTTGGATTTGAGCAACATCAATCGCTCCCTCGTAGGTGAGATAGTAGAAGACATTCACAGCCTCTACCGCGAACTTGCCGCGCTGTTTGAACCCAAAGATGAGGTCAACCCACTCGTGCAGATGAGCTGAGACGTAGCTGCTCTCCAGCGCTGCTCGCTGCATCCTGATGAACTCCATCGGGTCGCCGTTGGCCCATGGGGGTAGGATCACGCTCTCCACCGGCTGACCATCCTGGCGGCTGCCCAGCTGCAGGTTGTTGTTGTTGACGAGGAAGTCTGGGAGGTAGAAGAACTCAGGGCAGAGCTCCTTAACGTCGATCATGTTCTTGTTCCCCGCCGTGTCTTCCCACGTCTCTGCAACGCAATGGAACAGACGATCTGGGACGTCGAAGACTCCTCCCTGCAGAGCCAAGTGATAGCCCGTGAATGGCTGAATGCGCACCAGGTAATGAAGGATGTGGGCGGAGGTTGAGTAGTGGGTGCCGTAGTGGAAGGGAGGGACGTTGTTGTCCTCCTGGTCCCACTCCTCGTACCTCATCTCGAAGCTCCTCTGCCTCTCCGCATTCTGGCAGCCCATCGGCTTCGAGAGGTCGCGGAAGACCCGCGGGTCCGAGAGGTCAAGGGACTCGGACGTGTAGTCTGCCAGCACCCAAGGGAAGACAGGGTAGCGCGAAATGTCGTTCATGGTACGGCCAGCCAGGAAGTTCAACTCCATGAGGTACTCGAAGTTGGAGATGGCGCCCGAGCACCATCGCTTTACCAGCACCTTCCGCGCCTCAGCCAGCGACTTCTTCGATTCCACACTCCATGAGCACGTAGGAGAGGAGGCCCCGGTCACCAGCAAGGACTTGGCCTCCACCGCTAAGTTGGAGGAGGAAGTCAAGAAATTCGTGATGTCATTCCTGCTCTGAACGTCTGGAAGCACGAAGAGCATGGAAGAGCCCCGGACATCCAAGATCTCCAAGGCCACCGGCTGCTGCAGCCACATCCTCTTCATTATCCTCCCAACCTGTCAGAAGATTCAGTTTTAATTCTGAATGTGATCTATCTCAGTACCTGCTTGTCTGTCCACCTGTAAACTCCCACACCCACCTGATTGACGTGAGTGAAGCGAATGTTGTGCCCGCCTGGTGTCGCTTTCGCCTCGAGCTCTTCATCTTTGGCTGTCTTCTCAATCCCATCAAAAGCCGAGTCTTCGATGAAGTAAAGACTGCGAATCCTCCGATCTGCAGCGATCAATCCACTCTGACACAGGATGAAATGCCCTTCGTATTTCTCAAGGCCATCAACTTTCGACGCTTTCTGCACATGAACGATGGCATCTTCCGAGTCGAGGAATGCCAGGAATCTCAGTTCACTCCTGTTCAAGTTCAAGAGCTGGGCTGACGACAGATCAGCTTGAGCTTCAGTTTCTTCAATGGACTCCATCTCTTCGCTGAGGCTCAGCGCGTCATCATCAGAGAAGACATCTACTGGATCATCGGTGTGGTTCCCTTCAGTGTGAATAACATCTCCATGCGCAGCAGTCGTGGGCGCCTGGACTTCGCCGTCAGCTCCTTCATGCGGAGGCTCTTTCGGCCCTTCAGTCACTTTGCCTTCCTTCTTCTTCTTGGGGCTGAACATGGAACGAAAGAAACCGCCCGGGGCATGCACTTCTGATTTGGACAGATCTAGGCTCTTCCTGACGTTACTCACATCCTCCTCCTCAGTCATGCGATTTGTAGAAGCGCTGTAATCTGTCTTGAAGTCCTGCATGGAAACTGCTCGGACATGATGCGAAGTTTTCACTTGCTCCTCATCCTCTTCCTGCGCTGAGATGGATTCCGACCCATTTGTTTCACCGCTATCCTCCTCCTCTACCTCTGCTACCTCCTCTTCCACCTGGACCTGTCCCGGCAGTTTACGACTGGTTGAAACTATCGATGTGCTCGAAGAGTTTGCAGCAGCCGGTGTTCGGCTGTTCTGGTGTTCCTGCATACCTTCGTTTTCACTTTCACTTGACGACTCTTCCGAGTTTATGTCCTCGGTATCTGCCATATCAGCCGACAAGTCCCTCCTACTCCAGTTTGTGATCTTGGCTCCCGGAAACAGTTGAAGGTTCAGCTTTTCGTCGCCGTTGGGCGTCGTCACATCGGCACTTAGCCACTTCTTGGAGCTGCTCACTCTGTCAGTCACTTCAACTTCTTCATCAAGCACTCACCTCGCCGGCTGATAGGTCACTGCGTTCTTAGTCTTGCGCAGCGGGACCATTCTCCGACGGGCATGCTGCTGATCTTCGAAGCAATCGACGATTGGCTCATTAGAGTCTTCATCGGGCCCCGACGAGTGCCAAACTCCGACAGGAGACTGCAACCAACTTCGTATCTGTAACCAGGTAAGATGCGCGTTGCGCTTCCTGTACAATCCTTTTTGGAACTCAAGAATCCTCTGTTCTGTTGTGATTTTCCGTTCAATGTTGAAAATCTCCTGCAAAGGAATGAAATCAATCCCAGAAAGAATTAAAATCTAGTCACAACCGTCCGCTTCCTCACGAAGCTATCAATGCGTATCTGCCGCTGTTCTCGTTTCTGAGCTTTCATCTGAAAGAAAGGTCAGAAACACGACAATCATCATACTTTTGTAGACACCGTTCTTTCCTCAGACTTCAGCTTCAATTTGCGATTGTCTTCAAGAATGAGCCGAGAGCATTTTTCATCGAATTCCTTCACTGATTGACTCGACGCCTCATTGATTCGTTTGTCAATCATCTTTGCATTGTCGGGATTGAGAGCCCACGCCCGGAACTTTTCCCAAGACTCTCCGGCCTTCTTAGGCTTCCAAAAGGACGAAACCGAATCTTTGCTGCAAAGGATGTCAAAGCCGTTGTGATAAAGGTCCACAGGCTTTTCTGGGGTCCGGAACAGCTGAGAAATTCCGATCGAAGGCTTGAAGACGATGATGTGCATGATGCAATTCCTGGTATGAGCACTCTGGCCACTCAACATTTCACCGACAAGCCTCGCGCAGAGCTTCAAGATTTTCGAGTCACAATGTTCCATCCTAAGAATATGTGTGAGACGTAGGAATATGACAGTGCATGTCGTCGAATCATATCCCGCAGTGTGAAAAACATCTTGAAATTTCGAGATTGCCAGTTCAAGGACTTCTTCAAGCAGTTTGCCGTCGGTGTTTCTGATCATGAATGCAATCAACCTCCAAAGTGACGCCGAAGAGCCCTTGAGCAGCTGCCAAAAGATGCTATGCCTCTGCATGAGGCTAACAACCAAGATACAGAACTCGATCGCTTTGATTTCTCCAGCTACCATCCATCCAGTGTAAAATTTGTCGACCACGAAGTCACACATCTTGGCAAGATTGATCGCAAATTTGGTATTACCCTCTAGGATAGTCTCGTTGACTTCATTGGATAGGAATACAAGAATAGACAGCAACGCCCTTGTCTGAAAGACAGCAACAACATTCTGTGGCACATCAGGGACCAACGAACAATCGAAAATCTTTTTCAACAGTGTGTAACCACGAAGCTGAACCTTAATACCGTCGAGAACTGCTCTGCAGAGGAAGTTGAGGGCGTTTGTAGAAAGAGACCAGTCCAAGATATTCAAGCTCTCGATTGAAGCTCGAGGCGGCGGGACCTTTGCGAGTGCGCCGTCTGGAATCAGGGAGCCTCTACCGCTGTCTTCTTGTTTCAGGGGTTCTTCTCTCGGCGAATTCAGAGATACACTGACAAACGAAAGTTCCCGCATATTCTGAAAGGTCTGACATCTGCCACATAAAGCAGGTGTGATGTTCTGGACTACAAACTTTGAGGTATCGAACCCTGAACCCTTCGGAACATGTTTGGTCGTGAAATGAAGCCCATCGCCGATACGAGAGAGAGTTTCCATGCTCACAAATGGTCCTTTAAAAATCAGACTTCTCTTGTTTCCCGTCGCACTGATGGTCGCTCTCCTATCCGAAGCATCCGCCGCACCTTTTTAGACAAGAGATGTCAGTGAAACGACAAAAAGCAGAGGAGGAGGAGGAGGAGGAGGAGGAGGAGGAGGAGGAGGTGAAAGGGGATAAGAAGTTCAGGAAAAGAACCTGAGAGATCCTGAGGAACACTTGCCGTCCCACCGAGACTGACAGCTCTATTCTTGTCAGCCGAAACGCCAAGGCCAAGATCTGCCTGTAGCTTTTCGTATTCTTCAACCGAGACTTCTTCCATGGTTCCGAGGTCTTCACTGGCTTGCGAACTTGTACGTTCGTGCTTGGATGGCAGGCTGTGGCTGTCAGAATTCTCCTCATCGACCTCATGAGTCTCGATGACGGGAGTGATCATCGGCGAGGAAGAGTCAAACACTTCTTCGTTCTTGCCTGTCATCAAGGCCAGAACTAGGAAACTATCGATGAAATCTCCATCAAGAATGCGATTGTGGAAGGCGTCGCAGGAATTGAAAAGTTTCTGAAAGACTTGGAATACCATGTTCAAAAATCCGCGCAAGTCCGAGTTGTCAACATACTCTGTTTATGCGTCAGCAAACTGTCATTTTTCAAACAAAAAAATCATAACCTTTATCGTTCTCTTGACCTGCTAAGTCAGAGAATTTGAGAGCGCACTGGTTGTTCCATGTCTGAATATCAGCAGAAGCTTCCCCAAGAAAGTTCGATAGCTTCCTCAGCATACACTCTATTAAAGTAAGGCATTCTGGGAAAACAATTGTTCCAATTGAAACGTCCAGCACTAGCTTCTCGAAAACACCACCGTCGATGACTTCCGGGATATTTGTGAAGGAATTCCCATACAAAAAGTGGATCAGAAGGTAGTAAACATGAGGGCTTTTGCAATGGTCCTCGAAATGTTGTTCCAGTTCCTGTATGCAACTTTTCTGCTTGAATACTTTGGCATGCTTGTTCTTTGATGTCACATGTACCATAATAAGTTGGAGTGTCAAGATAAATGTTCGAATGTTCACACGGCCATTCAAAATATGCATCAAAAACCTCAAATTGATGATTTTCTGGAATTCGTCACTGAGCAACTCTTGTCCTGCCGATTGTTTCCTTTTCATTTCATTGAGAGCGGTCGTGAGAAGCAAGTTCCTGATGTACACCTTGCGCGACATTGATTCTACCTTCTCGTGGGAAGCCTCGTCAGGCGCAGCCGTCCCAGGGGCAAACGAAGAGCTCTTGACAAGGTTCGGCTCATTGTCTGAGGAACCGCCTGACAGCGTAGCGAGAATCGCCCTAGCGAGGCACTGCAGATCTTCCTTGCGGTAGTGGAATCTCAGCAAGAACGCCACCATCTCGATGATGCTGCGCACTCCCTCCAGAGAGATCGGCTTCGTGTCATCCAGCAAGACGTGCAGAAAGCTTTGAAATGCACCAACGATGGCCAACCGCTGGAAGTTGAACTCACTCTGCTTTGAGCAAACCGTCTCGGAGAGAAGCTTGTACAGCTGATTTTGAAGTGCGGGATTTGCCTCCCTCCACAGATCTCTGCATAAGATAAGATCTTTGAATGCAAAGGGGTTCGAGAGAAATCCAGTGGCAGGACATTCCGTATTGATCCCCACGATCTCGAACACAACTTGGGCTGAGATCTCATCAAGAAGGTGACTTCTTCTCAGTAGCAAGAACAGAATCAAGTAGTACCCATCACAATTCACCATCGACTTTAGATTCCTCGCATTCTTCTGTAAGATCGAACTGATCAAGCAAAGGACCTGATGGAGGGTGTCCGAGTCATCCGCCTCGCTCAGGATTCCAAAGACAATCCCAAGACCACCAAGATAATGTATCAGATCCGACAACAAAAGCCCATGGAAAGCATGCACAGATTCCGTCAAGACTGTCTTCGTGCGGAAACTATTTTCCGAACGGACTATGTCAGACAATTTACAGTCCGCCGATTCGGGTAGTGCAACAAAAGTCAGTTCCTTTTGGTCATCATACTTGAAGATTGATGGGATCGAACTTTGATAGCACAAAGCTGAAGCCGAGCACATGAATTTGACCGATGAAGGGGAC